GGTTGCACAGTTGGCTGGAAGAAAAACATCGGAGGACGAAAAGACCCAAGGAAATCAATCTAGCCTCATGAGAGTTTTCTAACTAGGATTTCTTCATTAAAAAGCCCTCTTCTACTTCCTTCATGCCCTCTTTTTTTATATATGCATCCGGTTACCATTTCTGTCCCCCACACACACACACACCCCACCCCTTTTCTTCTTCATCCCTTCTTATTCCGGTGAAGCACAGCACGTGAGGGGCAAATTTAATCAGAAAATCCCTGCCACATGCACGCCGTGAACAGAAATGACAAATGTCTTCATTTAGCTTTTAATTACTGTGCATCCTTCCAATCACCTGCTGCAACCTTTTGCAATCAGGGGTCCCCACTTCACCCCCCCCAACCCCACCGGTCCTCGTCGCTGCCGCCTTCACAAATGTGTGCTAGAAGTAGATTAGTGACACTGATACAGAGTGACTGATGTGTCAAACTATGAGGATTTCACAACAAGCCAACGTGAAGGAGGTTTATGAAGCATGCACACGACTGAGTGGGATGGATTTGCCTTTTTTTTTTTTTTTTTAATAAAGTTATAGTCTTCTCGTGGTGAAGGATTTGACATGTGGCTTAATTTAATCAGTCAAAGTGTCTTTTGATCCCACACTCCCATTAATCTCGCTGCGGCTGGTTCCCAAACATACCGTCCTACGCCAAAAACTTTACAGATCATCTATTTTAATTCTCTTTTTAAAGCTAAAAGACCCTCTGGTTCAGGAAATGTCCAGCTAATTGACGCTGTCATTACCTAGTGTGAGGCTGAGTCCAAGTGGACTTAAACACAATCGAGCATAGACCAAAAAAAAAGATAGATATGAAGAACCTAATTTTTAATTCTGACAAAGATATTGTTTATATAAGAGGTTTTGTAATGGTAGGTGTATCAAGACACTGTTCCATTAGTATCCACTTCAGACCATTTCACACCAGTCTTCACACAAAAGTTCTATTAAATTCCAGTTACAAACAGTCTAGTTTAGTCCAATTCATTCCAATTTAAATGTGTTTAAGACGCAATCCAATTTTTTTCATCCAACTAGTCCCTCATCATATTTCATTCATTTTTGTCCTAAATAGTTCAATTTTCAGTACTTCTGCCTGAAATTTGTGTTATTAGTTTTATTAATTATGAAATCATTAATAAACTGGAAAAAAGTTTTATTTCTTGAAAAATGACATTTATTGAGTTGGGTTTAACATAGTCTACCTAGATGGCTCTAAAGCTGTATTGTTAAGGTTGTTTTGTGTTATAAATAATCTTCATATAGTATGAAAAACATTTCAGGATAACACAAGAATCAAAGTTTATGTCTAAAATTACCATTGTTTTACAACTTTATAAAATTTCTGATGGACAAGGATTGTGTTCCAAATTATAGCTTCTTTCACAGTAAAATCTGAGCACAACCATTTTTTGTTGGTCTTTGGGATATTAACAACAAAAAAGGTTAAATCATGTCATCTGGACCAGGCTGTTTCTGTGAGTAGCAAGTTGGCCATCTGGCCTAAAACATTTGATTGTTGTACATGATGATTTATTGTTTTGGATGGGTGGGTCCTGTTTGCACGTGTTAAAAACCTACTTTTGAAATTCCTACAGGAGGTTGACTTAGAAAAACAAGCTACCTATGAGACAGATCTGGCTGGTAGGTCATAGACTGAGGAGGTCCTCTGGATGGGGGACAAAACGTTTCTCACTTAAAGATCTGGTCCAGATGCCACGATTTAACCTTTTTTGTTGGATGATTGAGCTTACAAACCTCTTTCTTTGGGACATTATACCACTGAGTCACAATGCTGACCTACCCTTTTCATACACCAACTGGTTCAGCTCTGTGACTACCTCTTACCAAATCAGTGGTGTAACAGCAGCAGGTTAACTTTAAGCCTCCAGGCTACCTCTGTATAAATCACATTGAAACATCCATCCATCCATCCATTTTCTTTACCCGTTTATTCCATTTTGGGTCACGGGGGTCGCTGGTGCCCATGTCCAGCAATCACTGTGCGAGGGGCAGGGTACACCCTGGACAGGTCACAAGTCCATCACAGAGCCACATAGAGACAAACGAGACAAACAATCATTCACTCCCTCACTCACACCTAGGGACAATTTAGAGCTCACATTGAAACATGAAGAAGGCATCTCAGTCCTGGTTTGAAAATGTTTTCTGAAAGAGCCTTTCAATGCTTGGTTGCTCCATAGGCTTGAGCCTTACCCACATGGAAACAGTTTTTCCAAATCATTGGTTTATTTGTCATTTGTAAAAAATATTTTCATGAACACATCCGCTGTTCTACAAACAGATTCATCCACACAGCTAAGCACAAAACACCACAAAAGACTATAGTAGTAGACTATAGTGTTTCCCTTAGGTCACTTGCCTTGGCATGGTTCTCATAGCTCATCTCTTTTGGGGATTTTCGGGGTTGGTGGAGACGGAGACACATCTGTGTTGCTAGCTTTAGCGCAAGCTTAGCGCTACGTTAGTGCCAGTAGTTGTCGACCCGGCCCTAGGTTGGGAGGGCGTTGTGAGGATGCATGAGAGAAGCAGCGTGCTACGTTAGTGTATTGCCTGCCGCTAGCTTAGCGCTACGTCAGTGCCTGCAGTTTTCGACGGGGCCAGGGGTGAGAAGTTCGAGTGAAGAACATTTCAGTAGGCAGGGCACTTGGTTCTGTTGATAGGGCGGGGCGCCCTCCTTGGATAATGGTAGAGGAAACACTAAACTATACACCTGTATGTGTGCTGTAACTGTAAAAAAATCTTAAAATGTATACTTGATGTATATTGGCAGAACAGTGGTACTTTTTGTAGAGCTGCTGCCTCTCAGCGAGCAGGTTACCCTGGTTCAAATCCCGGTACGGGAGCCTTTCTGGGAGGAGTTTGCATGTTTTCTCTGTGCATGCGTGGGTTTTCTCCGGGTACTCCGGTTTCCTCCCACAGACCAAAAACATGCAAATTAGAGAGTGAATGGTCATTTGTGCCCTGTGATGGACTTGCGACCCGTCCAGGGTGTACCCCGCCCCTCGCACAGGGATTGCTGGACATGGGCACTGGCGACCCCCGTGACCCAAAATGGAATAAGCGGGTAAAGATAATGGATGGATGGATGGTCATTTGTCTCTATGTGTCCCTGTGATGGACTGGAGACTTGTCCAAGGTGTACCCTGCCTCTCTCACAGTGGTTGTTGAACATGGGCACCAGTGACCCATGCAACCCTACAAGGAAGAAGTGGGTAAAGATGATGGATGGATGGATATTGTGGATTCATTTTCTTATGTTTACTTTCTATTTATAATGAAAGCTCATGTTCAATAAAGTACAGTATATGCAACAATTATTGTGGCTTTTATTATTTAGGATAACAAAAAATTGGTGTTTGCACCTTACTATTCAAGGCAACATTATGAGTCGTCAGACTTGTCTGCTCACTGAAGTGTCACAGTATCAAAAGATTTTGGTTTCGTTGAGCAACTGACAAATCTGCAGCAAAAAAGGCAAGCATGTAAATTGTCATCTTATTGTTATGTTTGTCACGCTTGGGGTCGTAGGTTGGATTAGAGGTGGGGCGTTGACATCGCCGTTTTCAAAAGGTTGATTTTGGGCTGTCTGCATGAAAACACGAGTGTCGTTTTAAGATTTTTGTTGGTTTGTTTTTTTAACTCTGAAACCCATTTTAAGAAAATACAGGTTTGAGATTCCTAAATGCAGTTTCTTTAGACACAAGGCTGAATTTATGTAAAACTTGCATTTTCACAAAACACCATTCTTGTTTGGACGAGGTCCTAATGGTTGGCCCGCCTGAGATTAACCAGTCAAACTGTAAAATGTGGTTACAGTGTTTACTCAACCGATAACTCAACATAAAGTAGAGCATTTTCTTGGGTTGGTTCTTAGGTTTAGGGGTGCGCACACCCTCATATTTGGGGGGTACAGAGTCAGCTGAAGTTCCATTCTGTCCATATCAATTAATGACGGACACCTGTTGTCTTCTGCATACAGTAACTGCTGAACAGAGGTGTACTTCCAGCCCCCGCTGCTGCTCCACCCTGCCTGTCAACCTTAAGTCCCAAACTCAATTTCAGCATCGCTCTTTTATAATGACCTGCCATTCACTGCAATCCCTGACCAAATTACAGATGTGCAACGTTGTCTGGCTAAACTTATGGAAACTTTCCTGCTGTGAGGACAAAACGTAGATAAAAACTCTCCTGAGGCACCACGTGCATTCACAGGAAAGGAAAGCATGCACGTGATAATGCACATGTTTTTGGGGGTGTGACGTGTGAACATCAAAGGTCATCCAGCAGCTGCACCCCTCTATCTTTTACCTAAACTGCTTATCCTCCATGGCTCCGGAGCCGTCAGGAATAATTCACAGTATTTTGAGCCACACGTCCAAGCCAGCAGGGTGAGAGCTGTCGGGGAGCCAGGAAGCTGCAGCGGGGGGGTGCTTGTTGTTGTGTTAGACGCTGCACCACCGCAGTGTCAAACACACACACACACAATTACAGGCATTTCCTGATGATTCTCTCCTCCGGCAGGAGATTCTCCCTGTGGCGTGTTTATAGTTGGGATTGTCTCAACTGCCAGAACTTGTGATGAATGTGTTGAGGGAGAGTGTGTAAGTGTCCCTGCTGCGCTCCGAGAATGGTGTGTTTGGGGGTAGAAAAGGTGGCACAGAGCAGGTGTTGGTGTGTTTAAGTCTAAACTGGCTCAGGCTCAGTTTCCAGGTTTATCCTGATGATTCTCGTTCATGCCGCCTCTTTTTTGTGAACCAGCAAAACCCTAATGTTGGTTTCTCTGTTGTTTTTTTAAATTCCAGTTAGAAAAACAACATGCACATTGTGATTTAAGCAAATATTAAGCTTTATATTTACTGCCGAATACGTTTGTTTTCTAAGGACGAAGTTCTGCCCGCGTACTGTGACAAGGAGCATTATGTTTGTGTGTGTTAAGGTGGTGGACCTGTACTGGGGAGTAGACCCAGAGGAGTGGGACAGTCCCGAGCTGCACAGACTCCGAATGAAGCTTCTGGAGGAGTGTTTGAAAACCTCAGCTGGGCCGTGCTTTGTTGTGAGTATTGCATGTTTCAAAGATACGATTACCGCAAGTGTGGCAGACTTTGTTTTTTCTTGTAATATACCAGTTGTGGGCCATCAGGCCTTCTCTGCTGGCCTAAGCATTATCAGACTCACCAACTTATGTTTTAAAATGTGTTCTATTACTGGTATTTAATATTTATTAGGTTGTTCCGAATTGTCTGTTCTCTTCATTTCATATCTTGTCTGCTGACTGCACAGCTTACAGCAGCATATGTTTATATAGGGATTGTATCCAATCATGTTTAGATCATCATCTGTTGCTAGGGTCAGAAAAATCTACCAAGATCTTCAGAATCAGTAGCGCAGGCACCCATAGCTTAAAATAAATCACAAAGAAATTGTTGCTTTTAGCTAATCAGATTTTGAGTTTGACGTTAGCAGTTTTACGCCGTTTAATTGGACGGTCCAAGAGCATCACGTCAGAGCTAGCAAACTGCATCTGTAGAGACCTGCATAAGTTCAACTTAATTTATGTAGATTCAATGGCTGTCAAGGAAACATGTTGATTTATGTTAATTGAGTTTATTGCTTTAGATCCTCAGATCCAGGAGGAACAATGCGGGTTCCGTTCTGGCCATGGAATACTGGACCAGCTCTTTACCCTCACTAGTGTCCTCGAGGGGTCAAGGGAGTTTGTCCATCCAGTCTACATGTGTTTTGTGGACTTGGAAAAGGCATTTGACTGTGTTCCTCGGGGTACACTGTGGGGGGTGCTCCATGAAAATGGGATTGGGGCTCATTGTTACGGGCTGTTCAGTCCCTATACAAGCGGTGTGAGAGTTTGGTTCACATTGTCGATAGTAAGTCGGACCCCTTCAGGGTGGAAGTTGGACTCCACCAGGGCTGCCCGTTGTCACCAGTTTTGTTCATAACTTTTATGGACAGAATTTCTCGATGCAACCAGGGAGCAGAAGGATTCCAGTTCAGTGGCCTCACAATTCCATCTCTGCTCATTGCACTTGATGTGGTCCTGTTGGCGTCATCGTGCCGTGATCTCCAGCTTTCACTGGAGCGGTTCACAGCCGAGTGTGAAGCAGCTGGGATGAGAATCAGCACCTCCAAATCTGAGGGATGGTCCTCAACTGCAAAAGGGTAGATTGCTCTCTTCAGATCGAGGGTGAGGTTCTGCCTCAAGTGGAGGAGTTCAAGTATCTCAGGGTTTTGTTCACGAGTGAGGGAAGAACAGAGCATGAGATTGGCAGACAGATTGGTGAAGCATCTGCAGTATTGCGGACTCTGTGCTGGTCTGTTGTGCTGAAGAGGGAACTGAGCTGTAAGGCAAAGCTCTCTGTTTACCAGTCGATCTATGTTCCTACCCTCACCTATGGTCACGAGCTCTGGGTAGTGACCAAAATAATGAGATTGTGGATACAGGTGGTTGAAAAGAGTTTTCTCTGCAGAGTAGCTGGACTCTCCCTTAGAGATAGGGTAAGAAGTTCAGTTATCTGGGAGAAACTCAGAGTAGAACCGCTACTCCTCTACATCAAGAGGAGCCAGTTAAGGTGTTCCTAGCATCTGGTAAGGATGCCACCTGGGCGCCTCCCTAGGGAGGTGCTTTGAGCATGTCTGACTGAGAGGAGACCCTGGGGAAGACCCAGGACACGCTGGGTAGACTATGTCTCTTGGTTGGCCTAGGAACGCCTTGGGGTCCTCCCAGAAGAGGTGGCTGTGGAAAGAGATGTCTGGGCCTCCCTGCTCAAGTTGCTGCCCCCGTGACCTGACTTCGGAACAAGCGGAAGATGATGGATGGATGGACAGACGGATGAATGGATGGATGGATGGGTTTCTTGCTTTAGTATTGGTGTTTACTCTCACTACCTGAGACATCTATCTGAGATGCTGTACCATGATATACCATGTTTCTGTATATTATTGATGCTTTTTATAGATGTGGCGTCATAATGACGGTATTAAGAGATGAATAATTTCAGACAGGACACTACTAAAGGCCTAGGTGTAAAATGCATGGCCTGCCACTGTAATATACATATAGCTCTCTGCAAAAGTCTTCAGTCTTTCACTCCTGATTTATTGAAACTAAAACCAGATTTTTTTTACGAGTGCCTAGCTTCAGTTTGCATCTGTAAGCATCTGTCCAATTAATATGTGTAACTGATGAATGTGACAAAGGACAACTGAATATTGGGTGATCTCTTTTATTTCCCAGTGTGCACAGCTGTTAGAGCTGCTTTGAGGATAAGAACAAGCATTCGAACAGCAAAAAGAAAATTACATCCTTCAGTGCAAAGGCGTCTTCAGGCAGCAGACTGTGAACTAATGAAGTTTTAACGATACAGAGGCACCACAGTGTTTTGATCTACAATTATACATATCTGAGATTTTTGTGATTTTTTTAGATCATTTTAGAGTGTTGTAACAAAACGGGAAGGACACAACAAGAACTTGATTGCAAATTATTCCGATGGAACGGAGCGAGGCATTATGGGTACAGCAGGGTGTTTGGTCTCTAGGGTCATTTATAATTGGGCCTGTTGCAATAAACAATAAATCAATTAATCGCATGATAAATTAAAATTATTGCCCTCATTTTCATTTATCAGCTTTATCATTTCTTCGTGTCCCTCTCTTTCTACTGAAAACATTGGATGACAAAAAGTTCAACTCCGGTGCTCTTCACTGACCCCTCCCGTTCTCTTTAAAATCCATTTTAACCATCCAAAATTGCGTTTTTGGATTGCTAAAAGCAGCTAAGCTGAGAAGCTAAGCTATGAGCTAAACTAACAGGCCGATCTTGGGGAAAAACCTCTGTCTTGTCCAAGCTCGAAAATTCACGGTTGAAACCCGTGCCTTCGTATAAAAAGTTTTTCTCTGCAAAAAAAAAAGCTGAGAACTTTTGTATTTTTTTATTAAAAGCTTTGTGTGAAAAATGCTATGCTAAAGAGCTCAATCCACATCGACCATCTGCCATTTTGAGAACTGGAGAAAGACAGCCCATGTCACGTCAAGGGGCTTCCCTCCCATTTTTCTTAAAGAGACACGCTCCCTTACTAATGAACTCCTTCAGTTCAAACAGTCTTATACTGTCATCTGGTAGTCGAAAAAAGGTACTACGTGCAAAACAAATCTAAACATGTTTTCTTAAATTTGACAATAATTACTGATTATTGTCAATTTAAATCAATAGTCTATCGCAATAATTTCTGAGATAATTAATCGCTCAGCAAAATTTGTTATCGTGACAGGCCTGCGTATAATCCACCTCCTCAGACTGGACAATGCTCATATAAAACCCTACACAAAAACTAAAATAACACCACAGGATCACATTTTACATGTATCTTTATCTCTAACAGCTGTTTGAAAGCAAGTAAAATCCGGATTTAACACATTCCCTCTAGCTTTACCGTTCCTCTTTAGTGTCTGTCAGTGAAGCCTTTTTTCTTTTTTTTTTTTAATAAATATTTATCAGAGCTTTAAGATGCACAGGAAAGATGTGAGAGAAAAGTTTTCAGTGTATCTTAAGTCCCAATGAGCATCCACATCCTTCACAAATCACCATCATGAAGGCTTCACGAACCGTGACGATTGGGGAAAATGAACTCGGCCTCAACAGAGGCGATCCATTCTGAACAGAAATGAAATTCTACACACACCATCGAGCTGATAGCCATGTTGAAAGATTTTTCTAAAGCAATCTCAGGTTTGAAATCCTTCACAAGCACATCTCTATGAAAGCCACAAAGCATCCAGAGATGTCACACACTCATCAAAACAAGAAGCCAGCAGCCCACAGATGTTTGTTGACAAGTAGGAAATTGGAAGAGAAAAGCTTGAAGTTATGGACTGATTCTGATTTACGTTGCTACTTTTACTTTTCACAACAAAACGCTCATTTAAAAATTGAAGTACTTGAAAAAGAGCACAAGCTTCATATGCAATTTTTTTTTCAATCTAAGATTCTCAGACAATCTAGAAACAAAGTACTTAGTACTTTCTGTTAAAGTTGCTTTTTAAGGGGCACACACTGACATTATGCTTAGAAATATCTAATGTTTTGATTGGAAAGCCATTTCTAAATGTCTTAGCCCACCCTTCACACTGCATGCTACCTTCTTAATAACAGGTGGCAATTTCGCCTCCTACTCAAGTGTCTGGCGCCGCCTACTCTGACGATTTTTTTCTCTTTGGAGCCAACTGACGTGCCTGCGCATGATAGTCACATGACCAGTTTCAGTTACTTTAGCGGGAAAGACACAGCATCTCAGCGACTGTTTCCCTATGGTTTGCCCAGTATCCAAGGAGGAAGCCCCGCCCTGTCAACATAACCAAGCGCCCTGCCTACCAAATCCCCCACCCCCAGCTCTGCTCTGCCCCTTCCAGATTGGGAGCAGAGATTAGAAGGCTCAGCTCAGACTGTAAATTGTGTGCTAGAAGCATACAAACGTGGTACTCCACTAGGGGTGTAACAGTACGCTAAAATTACAGTTCGGTTCAGTTTCAAGGAGGGCTTGGTTCGGTTAATTTTCGGTACAAAAAAGGCCAAAATGAAGACTTACAAAACATTTATTTTGAAAATATGCCAAGTAAACAATACATTTGTATAAAAATAAATAAAAACAACCCATTTGGATATTTTAAATAAACAACACTTTACAATAAATTAACTATACTAACAATAATAAAAATCTTAATAACAGTCAGAACCAGAACAATAAGCAGCAACAGACCGTTTACTATCTAGCTAATTAAGTTTTGAGGTTTTGCCAAAAAGACCAACTTGTCCACATTTTCTGCCAAAAGCTCAGATCTAGTTGCAGTGAATATCTCCAGCGGTGGAGAAAACCGCTCACTAACAACAGGTAGCACTTTGCTAATTTTTGCAGTGTGGCTGTATTTGGCCTCATTACTCACAGCCTCTTCTTGGACCTGCTCCCACCTGTCCCTGGAAAAGTTCAGAGTTCAGTCATCACAGACTTCTTAGCTGGAGGTGATCTCTGGTGCATTTCCCTG